AGCATAAGTGAGCTCCTTGGGGCTCAAAAAATTCGAAGAAGGGCCAACAGAAATATTCATGTCTTGTCCTAGGCAGGTGGCTAGGAGAGAGTCATTGTGTTCAATTCACCAGTTGCAAACAAAGCCTGCTATGTACTCAGCAAGGTGTCACATACAGGTGGGCATGGCTTAGAAATGAAACCACAGAGATCATGATTAATGAAGTGTCAAGATATTGGACACAGAATAAATGCTACTAGGAGAGGTCAGGGTAAGCGTCACAAGGAGATGGGCTTGGGCTGGACCCCACAGGATGAGCAGAATTTGAATGGGTGGAGTGGCATTTCCCTACCAAGCTGTGTCACTGAAGCATGGGGCACTAGGGTGTCTCAATGCAGTCTCCCTGGGCCTAGAGTTGTGCCCTCCCCCAGCATGCCTGCCTGCAGGGAGTTCTCCTTTCTCAACTTCTGGAAGAGGAACTGTGGCTGCCCCTGAAACCTAGACCTAAAAAAGCAGCACCCGCTGGTTGTCCTTCAGAAAATATCCCTTCTGCCCCAAGTCTGGCTAAAGGAGGGCTCCTGTGTGTCCACCAAATGCCCTCTCCAGTCTTCTTAGTCTCCTGGCCTCCTCTCCCCTTGGCCTTGAGCTGGGACGGCAGGAAGGGGAAGTTGTCCATCTTGGACAGGAGGCCTCAGGACTCACTTCTGGGATCCCTGGGGTCACTCTGCTGCTGGTCAGCTTGGGGGCCTTCTCTAGGGCTTTGTGGGCTCACAGTGAGAGGGAATGGGAAACTTAGGAGCCTGAGAGAGGTGGCCATTTCTAAAAGGAAAGCTTTCCATTTCAGGTCATCTGAGGAAGAGGCTGAATAGGTCTCTTCTCTGGGGGGAAATGAAGGCAGCAAGACACAGGATGGGGCAGTAGGGGAAAGGAGCCCTCATATGGGGTCCTCAGGCATTGTGTTCTAGACTGCTGCTTCATGGCTCCCACCAGACCTGACTCTACCTCCAGCCCGCATTCCAGTCTCTTCCCTCCTGTTGGAACCTCTCCCGTTCTCACCTTTTCCTTTCTGCGCCCACCTGTGGAGCCTCTGACTAGGCCCCTGCTCCCCCTTCTCCAGGCTTCTGCTTCCCATCCCCCTCCTGGCACCTGTAGTGCAGCCTCATCAGCCATGCTCTCCCACCTCTGGTTCCACCTCCCCTCCTTAGCCCTTTTCTTCAGGCTATGGGAGCCTGGCGTGCCCACCCAGGGAAGATTGTATGGACCACACTGGGGAGGGCTAAGCTGGGACCTCCTTAGGTTCCTGCTGTGGACTGCAATCAATCAGGGTGAGATATCTGAGTCACTCAGTAGGTTGGATGAGGAAGAGGGGGCTGGGAATCCCTCTCAGCTAGCATGGGAGTTTGAGAGAAGGAATAGGGTGGGGAGTCTTCTCTTTTGATTAGCATCTGGTAGAGGCCCCAAATTTTGGGGAGCTCAAGCTGAAGTGGAGCCTACTAGAGTGGCAGTGAGCCTACCTGGGTTGGCCCTGTCTCCTTCCTTCCCCCCTCCCCTCACCACTCCCTGCAGCCTCTTTACTCCATCTTTCCTCTCTCTACAGATGGGACCCAGGTGAGCCCGGGCACCCACTGTCCCAGTCCCCCTGGCACAGGTAAGAGTCACACCTGAGGGAGACTGTGGGGAGTGGAAGATGAGGAATGGAAAGGACACAAGAAGGGCGAGAAGCTGAGGGGTTGGAGAAGCAGGGTAGCTAGCTGGTTGGCTACAGAGTTGGGAAGCTACAGTCTTAGGAGAAGGGGTAAGGAATGGCGACAAGAGAGGCACCTCTGGATCCAGGCTGGTCCCAGTACTGGGCAGCTCGACAGGAAAAGGAAAGACAGGGCATCCTTCTGGTCCTTGCTGGGTGTAGTGAAACAGGAAGGGAAGTCAGGAACTGATATTTATACTCAGACCTCTGCCTCACCTCAGGCACTGGGCCAGGCACGGTCTATGTGTTGACTCATTCAGTCCTCACACCAGCCCTGCCAGGTGGGCTTGGCAGCCCTGGAGGATGGAAGGCTGCCTCGTGGTGCTTGGGTTGGGGAGGACCCTCTCACCCTTCCTCACCTCCTTCCGCTGCTGGCCTAAGCCTCCTCTGTTGTTAGGCTGCCTGAGGAAGGATTGGAGTGGACTTCTTGCTGCTGCTCTGACCTAGGACATGCCGGTGGGGCTAGGCCTGGACTGAATGAGGGGCTGCCCCTTCCTTACCTGCAACAAATATCCACTGCGGGCCTACTGAGTGCAGGTCACAGCCTGATGCCTAGTAATTACGTACGGCAGGGAGAAGTGGAAGGCCAGGTAGCCTCCTTGCTTCGTTCTGGCTTCCCAAAAGCTTACAGGCAGGCTGAGGAGACAGGACACACAAATGGAAAGAGAGATAATGATGAGATGCAATATGTAGCCAGTGCCAAATGAGGGATGACTGATGAGTTCATCTATTCATTCAGGAAACATTAATGCCTATGTGCCAGGATACTGTCGTAGGCATTTTTGGGGGGACACAGAGATTTAGTCATTGATTTGACCAGTATTTATTGAGTACCTCTTATGTGCTAGGTGCTGGGGGTAATGAACAATGAACAAACCAAGTACCTGTCCTGTGGGCTTAACTCAGCTCTGGTCCCTGCCCACAAGGGGCAGATAGTGCTATGAAATAGCCCATGTGATTGAAGTCCAGGAGAGGGAGAGACCCTAGGCACTGGGCTGGATCCAGGGGAGAGGGAGGGCTCCAGCTGGGCTTTGACGAAAGGGTAGAATTGGAAAGTTAGAATGTAGGCATGAGGACAGCACAGGCAGGGAACAGTGTGAGCAAAAGCTCAGGGGACAGACAGTACGCGGTCCAGTGGCAGCTCATGGCTGAGGTGGGAGATCAAGAGGAGAGAATCCAGGTTAGGAGCAGATTGTGGAGCCCCTGAGAGACATTTCCAGGGTTCCAGTGACAGCTCATGGCTGAGGTGGGGGATTAGGGTCCAGATGTAGGAGACCAAGCAGAGAGAAGCCAGGTTAGGACCAGATTGTGGCGCATTCCCAGGGTTCCAAGCAGAGCCCCTCCTACCTTCTCGGCAGCCTTCCCCTCTGGAGACTGTTCAGTGCTGGGAATGAGGAATGGGCCACTGCTTGGGAGGAGCTCAGAGTTTGTGTGCGGCTGAAGGTGCTGGCTTTTGGCCTGGGTATCCTGCCTTGGCATCCCCTAGGGCTCCCTCTTACATTAGCAGGGAGTCCCCTCAGGAGGCCAGGACACTGGAACATGGGGCAGGGTTGTGTTGGCATCAGAGGCCCAGACTGATAGGAATGAGAATCTGGATTCCTTAGGTGGATGCATGAATAAGAGGTGGGAGCATCAAAGCTATGTGCTGCCTGCTGGCCCTCTCTGTGGGGCTGCACTGGGGTGCGCAGCCATCACCTGCAGTCTCCGATATCCATCCAGAGGGTCATGGTAGGCACCTCCTTGCTTGGCTGTTTTTTCGTGGCTATCTCACAGTCAGAGAATGTTAGAGTGGGAGGCCCCTACGAGATGATCTATTGCAAGCCCCTCTTCCTTTGCTCAGTGAGAAGCTCCCCCGAGGGGAGGGGACTTCCTAAAAGCCTGTGGCGCGTTAGACAGTCGCTAGAAAAGCAGCACTGGCCTCAGCAGGAGCAGAATCCATGGTCCTGCCTAGCTGGGTAACCTTGGACAGGCCCTTCCCCTTTGAGCCTCAGTTTCCTCATTTGGATAATGGAATAGTAATACCTAGCTCCCAGGGTGTTATGGGGGCGAGGTGAAAGGTTTTTGAAGATACTCATGCACGCACACCACAGATATTAAGATTGTGATTAGCAATGGTCAGCGGGGCCTGGACGCTGAGCTTCCTGACTCCCTGACTAGTGTTCTTTCTGCTTTCCCAGGATGCCTTTCCAGTTCCCCTCAACCCAGGCCCAGAGGGCAGCCATGGGCATCTGTTGGGGGATGCCCAGCTTTGGAAGCACTGAAGGCAGTCTCTCCGATCACCTCTCTCAGGCCTTCCCTGTCGTAGGGCAGCCTGCTCCCACCCTAACCTGTCCCCCTCTCCAGGAGAACCCCTGCAGCAGCCTCACCTCTAAGCATCTCGTGCGTCTCTGGCTGCTCAGCCCAACTTGGCCTGGTGGAGTGCACGGGCGTAGAACCTGCTCTGGCAGCTAGTTATAAATAGCCCTTGCACCCACGGCCTTGGCAGGGTGTGCTTGGCGTGGGTGCTGAGGACACTTGAGAAGAGGCAGCTGAGCCTGCCGTCCTCACCATGCCAGGCCCAGAGCTGGCAAGCAGACTCCACACCCGTGTGGGCCCAGTGAGCTGAGGGACCTGTACTGCAAACAGGGCTCAGCGGGTCCAGGGTGGCTATAGGTTTAAGGCATCACTTCTTTATCCTGTGACCCAGAATAGAGTGTGGCAACTCTGAGAGGGGCCGATAAAGGTTGGAAATGGAACAAAGTAGGACTGTTTGCCTGCCAAACGGCTGCCTTTGAGCCCAGCTCGTTAGAGGGCAGCTGAGCCAAATCCTCCCTTTCCAGGGGCAGGGAGAATGGGGGAGGGCAGAGCCCAGAGTGAACACAGCCCATCACCAAATCCCTCAGCAAGGTGAAGCCCTCGGCCTCAGCCCTGGGAGGCAGCAGATCTAGTGGGGAAGCACTGTGCATGGAGTCCAGAGACTGAATTTGAACACTACCAGAGACAGACTATAGCAGTGTGCCGTCCATATGACTCCTTTCTCATGGGTGAAATGGAATTGATAATACCTCCCTTGCAGGATCAGGGTGAGGATTAAGCAGGACTTGGAATTGGTTCAGTCCGGTTTGAACCCCTGCTGGTAATTTGCATTTCTAACAAGTTCCCAGGTGATGCTAATGCTGCTGGTTAGGGACCAATTCTAAGAACTGCTAGTAGAGCAGTGGTTTCTCCAAATTTATTATACATAAGAATCACCTGCGGATCTTGTTAAACTGTAGATTCTGATTCAGTAAATCTGGGGTGGAAATGCAAATTCTCAGCAGGGGTTCGAACCAGAACAAACCGGTTCCAAGAAGCCCTGGGATTAAATGTGAAGGCTCCGTGAGTGAGGGTGTCTTGCCATTGTTGAGGCTGAGGGGGCTTATTAGGCTGCAACCATGTACCCTGCACACAAACTTTCTGGCTGACCTGCCCTCTCTGTCCACAGGCCGCCTCACGCCCCACACAGACACACCAGGCCCTCAGCCTCAGCCCATGGATCTGCGGGTGGGCCAGCGGCCCCCGGTGGAGCCCACCCCGGAGCCCACGCTGCTAGCCCTGCAACATTCCCAGCGCCTGCACCATCACCTCTTCCTAGCAGGCTTGCAGCAGCAGCAGCAGCAGCAGCAACAGCGCTCAGCAGAGCCCCTGAGGGTAAAGACAGACTCCTTACACACCAGCCCAGCCCCTACCCCTGCCTGCATCCTTCCTGGACCCTAATCTCAGCCTCTCAACTCCTTGCCCCTTCCCGGGCTGCCGGCTCTGTCCACAGCTCTCAATGGACACGCCGATGCCTGAGTTGCAGGTGGGGCAGCAGGAGCAAGAACTGCGTCAGCTTCTCAACAAGGACAAGAGCAAGCGGAGTAAGGATGGTGGCTGTGTACATGGGGGATGGGAGGGTCACAGTGTGCTGGCATGTTAGCCAGCAGGCGTCCCTCTGCCTGCAGGCTCTGCTTATGAAAGCGGGTATGAGCTTCACAGAAGGGGTGGCACCTCTGGCCCGGTTCTTGCCTGTGGAATCCCTGGGACACCTCGTACTGGGGGTGTGGACAGGGCAATGGGCAGAGAATGTGCCAGGAAGCCAGCCCATCCACCCACCCCAGCCAACTCGTCATTCTTCTCCCCTGCAGGTGCCATAGCCAGCAGTGTGGTTAAGCAGAAGCTGGCAGAGGTGATTCTGAAGAAACAGCAGGCCGCCCTAGAGAGAACAGTCCATCCCAGTAGCCCCAGCATTCCCTACAGGTACCCCCTCTTCCCTCCTGCTCCCTCGTGTCCCCACCATGCTCCTTCCTCCCTGTAGATACCTGTGAGCACACACACACTTGCCCCTTTCCCTCCCCAGATGCTCATCACCCAGCCCTTCCTCTTTGCCTCTAAACGTAATGTCCCACAAGCCCTCTCCCAAATGACACCAGCCTTCTTCTCTCCTGTAATTATCTCTCCCTCTTTAGTGAGGCCTTCCTCCCTACACACACACTCACACTCACACCACACATGCTGGCCTTTTTCCACATGAGTCCCTTCTCTCTTTACACCTACCCCAAAACACAAAAAGTATCCTGGTTCCTAGAGTAGGTTCCTATCCTGTGAGAGGAACAGAGTCCCCACTGTGTCTAGCCCCTCACTTGGGCCCCCTGAGTCCCTAGCCTCTATGCCTAGACCAGAGATCTGTAGATTGCACTGCTGGGTAGGGGTGGGTGGCCTGCTTCTGTCACCTGGAGTTGGCCCTATTGCTGTTGGCCCCATGCTGCCCGACCCTGCCCACTGCTACCCCCGCACCCCGGCAGAGACAGTGGCCATAGAGGCAGGTCCTCAGGGCCCAGGCTCAGGAAGGAGCCCTGGAGTGGAACGCGTGCAGTGGTTCTGAATGTACCTGTGGAGAGCGAGGTGGCTGCAGGCTCTGGGCTTCCCGCCCTCTGAAGCAGCTGTGTCGCTCGCTTCACAGAACTCTCGAGTCCTTGGAGACTGAAAGAGCCACCCGCACCATGTTCAGCAGTTTCCTGCCTCCTGTTCCCAGCCTGCCCAGCGACCCCCCAGAGCACTTCCCCCTGCGTAAGACAGGTGAGCAGGATAGACAGGCGGGTGCTAAGGGGAAGGGCCTTGGATGGTAGGTCAGGAATGTGGAAGGGTGGAGGGTTGGGCTGAGCCTGGGAAAGGCCCGCATGCTGTGGTTTTCTTTCCCCCTCTGCCTTCCCTTGCCTTAACCCAGAAGTGGTGACTGGGTGTGAGGGGCTGAAGGGCAGAGAGAAGTGGAGGGCCTGAGTAATGCCAGTGCTCCCCGCAGTCTCTGAGCCCAACCTGAAGCTGCGCTACAAGCCCAAGAAGTCCCTGGAGCGGAGGAAGAATCCGCTGCTGCGGAAGGAGAGTGCCCCGCCCAGTCTGCGAAGGCGGCCGGCGGAGACCCTCGGTGGTGAGGGCCGGCAGGGCGGGTGTGGTTGACATCCTCAAAGCTGGGTGGTCTGGTCCCTTTGGGTCTGGTCCCCCCACCCCCAGACAGGGGTCCCCTCCTCAGGGCCCTGTGTGAGGTTGTACAGCGTGTGGCCTACACAAGGATTCCTTCCTGGTCAGGGGGCTGCTAGGACTAAAACACAGCCATGCCCTGTGACTAAGCTGACAACTGTCCCGGAGAAGGGGCACCTTTACAAAAATTGTCCAAAGGTACCCTGTAGGCTAGTGGGGGCCTGCTCTCTTCCTGCTCTTCTGGGAAGAAAGCAGGAAACAGGCCACCTATAAGGGCACGGGGCTTGTTCCTGGGTGTCCGGGACCAAGGGGTTGGCTCTGGCTTCTGATTGCACATCCCCCTCCCCCCAATCCCCAGACTCATCCCCCAGTAGCAGCAGCACGCCCGCATCAGGGTGCAGCTCCCCCAACGACAGTGAGCATGGCCCCAACCCCGTCCTGGGCTCCGAGGTAAGGCCTCACAGGGTCTAGGCTCTCCTGGCTCTGAGGCTCAGCTCTGCTTGCAAACCCTCGCTTGAGCCTCTGGGAGTTCTGGGAAGGCGTGCCCAAGGGTAGGGGTCTGGGAGCGGTGACCCCTTGCCCTGCTCCCCACGGCAGGCGCTCTTGGCCCAGCGGCTGCGGCTGCAGGAGACCTCTCGGGCTCCGTTCACCTTGCCGACAGTGTCCTTGCTGCCCGCAATCACGCTGGGGCTGCCCGCCCCTGCCAGGGTGAGTGGCTGGGGCGCCCCTCCCCCCACTCCAGGCTCCCGCAGCTTCTTCACCCCCAACTCGCTCCCTTCCCCACCACCTGCCCCATTCACCTTCACTGCTTGTCTTCCTCGTGCACTGTCCTCCCCCGTGACAGCTTCTCACCTCTTCCCCAGGCTGATGGGGACCGCAGGACTCATCCAACTCTGGGTCCTCGGGGGCCGGTCCTGGGGAGCCCCCATGCTCCCCTCTTCCTGCCCCCTGGCCTGGAGCCTGAAGTTGGGGGCACCTTGCCCTCTCGCCTGCAGCCCATTCTCCTCCTGGACCCCTCAGTCTCTCATGCCCCGCTGCTGACTGGTGAGTGCCCCTGCTCCTTGGTAAAGGGGCTGGGCCCCTGCACCCTGCTAAGGGCCAAGCTTGGGGAGGGGCCTGTCCTTCCTGCCTGCTCTCTACCCCCCTGCCCTCCTGGTGCCTCCCTGATTTGTCCCCCCTTCCCCATGTCCTTGCTTCCTTCTTTGCTCCCTAGGGTTCACTCCTTATGCCCCCACCCCATTCTTTCCAGTGCCCGGGCTTGGGCCTCTGCCCTTCCACTTGGCCCAGTCCTTACTGACCACCGAGCGGCTCTCCGGGTCGGGTCTCCACCGGCCACTGAGCCGGACCCGCTCAGAGCCCCTGCCCCCCAGCACCACCGCCCCCCCACCGCTGGGCCCCCTGCAGCCTCGTCTGGAGCGGCTCAAACCTCACGTCCAGCTGATCAAGGTGAGAGAAACTGGATAGGGGGGTTGGCGAGGGGGTGCTTAACTGGGCTTCTAGCAGCTGAAAGAGGAAGAGGGACTTAGGGAGGACAGGGCCCTGGCAGACAAGAGAGAGAATGTGGCTCTGGGGTCAAAGCTGGAGTCCTAGCAAAATGAGTGGCCACCTAGCCCAGCCCACCACCTCCCACCCTGCACCCGTCACTCCAGCGTGGCTGCTCAGCCCAGGCATCTCCCTTCCCCAGAGGCCAGCCAAGCCAAGTGAGAAGCCCCGGCTACGGCAGATACCCTCATCTGAGGACCTAGAGACAGATGGTGGCAGCGTGGGGCAGGTGGGCGACAACAGCCTGGAACACAGGGAGTCGAGCCACGGGCAGCCAGAGGCCAGAGGCCCCTTTTCTCTTCAGCAGCACCAGCAGGTAAGGGAATGCCCATGCGCCGTTCAGAGGATATAGTCACAAGACAGTTGGGCCTGGGATAAGGAGAGAAGGGAGGGCGGTGTGACATCAGTGCAGGGACAGCTCCAGGACCCATGGTTGCCTGCCACAGATCTTTGCATGCTGTATCCACACCAGGGTACACACACACATATACACAAACACATGCACACACAAACATACACACATATGCATATGCTCCAGCGGCCTGCCAGTCTCAGGGTGAAGCCATGTCCCTTTTCCCGCAGTGAGGCTGGCCTGTCACGGAACCATACTCACTCCTGCCTTAGTACTTCTCCCCTGTAACTGGTTTCCCAGCTCCGAGAAGGTGGCTAGGGCAAGAGTGGGACAGGGCCAGGCTCAAGTGCTTCAACCTCATAGTGCTCTCACTGCATGAGTCCAGCCGTGGCAACAGTCCACATCCAGGCAGCGAGTCATGCAGGTCCCCATGTCCTCAGCAGTTGCAGTCATTGGAGATGAGGAGAGTGTGGTCTGAGGTGGGCCTGAGGTTCCTCACCTGGGCTCTGGCTTTGGAGACCCAAGTGCCCACGTAGCTCCAGTGGACCTGGGTGGTCAGTCTGCGATGCAGGCCTTTGGGGGCTGGTGGGGGTAGGGGGCTCGGAGAGTCAGAGGCAGAGCCCAGCAGGGAAGCAGGGCATCCTGGAATCTCACCAGAAAAGGGGGCCTGCCTGGAGGTTGTCAGGATGGTAGGCAGAAGCCAATGGGGCAGGATCCTGAGACAGCGGCAGCTGAGGCTCCTTCCTCCCCTTAGGTGTTCCTCTGGGAGCAGCAGCAGCAGCAGCGACTGGTGGGGCGGCTCCCCCGGGGAGGCCCTGGGGACTCTGTGCTGCTTCCCCTGGCCCAGGGCGGACACCGGCCTCTGTCCAGGGCTCAGTCTTCCCCAGCTGCGCCTGCCTCACTGCCAGCCCCAGAACCCATTAGCCAGGCTCATGTCCTTCCCAGCTCTGAGACCCCTGCCAGGACCCTGCCATTCACCACAGGTAAGACCAAGGTTAGAGTGAGGGGCCGGGGGTGTGAGGCTGTGTTTGTGTCGTGGTGTAACTTACGGCATTCTTAGAGTGCTTTCTTGGTCTTGTTCGATCCATACAACATCCCATGAAGTAGGTGGTTATTCTCCTTTTACAGATGAGAAAACTAAGGCTCAGGAAATCTAAGGTGACCAGCTTGTGGTCAAATAGCAAGCTGGTGGTCAGTCCAGGGAATCTGGGCCTCCTTCAGTGTTTTGAAAACGATATATTTTTTTTTAATTGTAAAAAATAGTTCAAACGTATAATAGAGATTTTGAAGAATATAGAGAAGCATAAGAATAAAATAAAAATCACCAACCAGTGCCCACTACCCAGAGATAACCCATCTTAAATTTTGCTATATTCCAATCTACTCTTTGCTCCAGCCTGAGTACAAATACCATATCTGCATAACTACATTTTACACAGTGTAATTATGTGGATTCTTGACATAACTAGTCCTCAAAAATGTGAGTTTTTTAGTATTTTACGTAGTATTTAATTTTTACCTAAAGGTTTGTTAGTTGGACATTTAGATAGTTCCTGATTGTTCTTCATTTTAATTTCCTCTTACATAAATCTGTACTCATCCCTGGGATTATTTTCGGAAGATCGGTTTTAAGGAGTGGCATCCCTTGTTCAAATAGTCTGAGCATCTTGAAGGTTGTTGGTGTCCTGCGATATCATGAAACTGACCCCTAGAAAGGTCGGAGCACTGACCCTCCCCGGCTGTGCTCAGCAGTCTTTACTAGTGGCATCTCCCTGCTGATCACTGCCCGAAAACTACCTTTGTCTTATCACATGGCCTCGTGTCATTGTGGGACTTCCAGCTCCCAGGTTTGGGGTTTCCTAGGAATTCTTTCTCCTCTCGTTGCTTCAGGTGGCTTCTGTGGGTGAGACCCCTGACATTAGGCCTCACTTTGTATCATTCTGAGCACTTGAGGGCAGCCTAGATTTGTTGGCCACGTGCAGAGTGTCGTTGTGTCAGGAAGATGTGGCTTTGTGGCTTCAGTTGGCTGGTGCTGTGCTGGTGTGTGTGTGAGGTGGTCTGAGCCTCCCTCAGTCAGCATCAGGGGTATGCGTGTGAGTGCAAATGACTGTGGTTCGGGCGGTGAACCAGGATGGGGTGTGTGGGACTGTGTAGTGTGAGGTGGGTCTGCCATGCCTGACTTCATGGGGGGTGCTGGCTGTGGAGGTGCCGGCCGGTACTCTGTCCACAGCCAATGGTCAGTTGGGCTGGGGCCCCTCTACCGGCAGGGCTGTTCTATGACTCAGTAATGCTGAAGCACCAGTGCTCCTGTGGAGACAACAGCAGGCACCCGGAGCATGCTGGCCGCATCCAGAGTATCTGGTCCCGACTGCAGGAGCGGGGGCTCCGGAGCCAGTGTGAGGTGAGGGGGGCGTGTGGGGCTGCAGAGTCTGAGGGGAGAGTGATGGAGGGGAAGGGGTGGGGCTCCATAGCCAGCATGAGGTGTGGGGGTGGGTGGGGCTGCAGAGTCAGAGGGGAGAGTGATGGAGGGGAAGGGGTGAGGGCTCCACAGCCAGCGTGAGGTGAGGGGGTGGGCAGGGCTGCAGAGT